GGAAGATTGCACTGTGTTACTGTCAACAGTGTTTAAATCAACAGTATGTCTCAGGCCATTTTTCTGTAATGGTCACTTGATCTGCAGAACTCATGAATTTCTGATTTCCTTTGACCTTCAGCAATTTTCACTATTCCAAGTATCCAAGGATCTTAGAGATTTACTTCACTGAATCCCAGAAGGATCGATACAAAATTTTGGATTTACCCATAAATAAGTGCTAGATTTGGAGGAAATTATGACTGATATGCACAGCCTCAGATCACAGTCACATCAGGAACTGAGCCAAGGGAATGTTTCAGCTAAATATGATATGCACTTGTTTGTTAGAGAGTCTCATAAACTCTGCATGTAAACTGAGAGGGATCGAGACTGTTTCTGAGTTTTCAAGTTTCAACTGTGCAACCTAGTTGTGTCCTGACTTCATAGTAGTACCAGCATGCCCTATATTAGTCTGGTTTGACTAAGAAATTAGCCTTGGCAAATGGATTAAAGAAGGAAGCTCAATGCTACAGAAGGTTCTAGTTAGAATGCTCAATAATTGGGAAATACTGTAGGTGCAGTGGAAGGTGAGCTCCTACTAGCCCCACAGGAAGCAGATTACTTGCTTACAAGGGTTGCCTTATGACCATAATGGTTGTGGAAGTCACTAAGGAAGGCAAGAATTCTGCACAGGTAAATCTAGGAAAACAGTCAGGTATTGTAGGTGTCATGAAATAAATACAAAAATATTTGCTGAATCATAGATCTGTGTAGATTGGCAAGGCCCTCTTGAGATTGCCTAGTCCAAACACCATGCTCAAGCAGGTTCATCTGGAGTGGGTTGCACAGGCTCATGTTCTTTTGTGTGTTCTGCATATCTCTGCAGCTGGAGACTCCAAAATCTCTGTGAGAAGTCTCTGCTAGTCCTTGACTGCCCTTATAATTGAAAAGTGTTCAGATTGAATTTGATGTTATTTTGTGCCTATTGCCTCCTGTCTTGTCAGTGTCCTCAGGTATGTATACAAATTGATTACATCCCTCTGAGCCTTCACTTCTCCAGGTTGAAAATGACAGCTCTTTCAGCATATCTTTGTATTAAAGGTGTTCCTTTTCACCAGTCATCTTCATGACCCTGAAATCCAAATGCAAAAAAACCTACATGGCTTGGAAAGACTCCTGTAAGACCTCTAAGAAGGCATGTATCCCATACAACTTCACTGTAAAATATGGATATATATTCATATATGAAAGAAAAACACCAACAAACAAAACAGTGAAGATAAATACAGAGGAAGAGCGCAATCTTTGCAAAACATCTGAGAAAAGCATCTTCACGGGACACATATGCTTGAAATTCCTTGAAGACTTTATAGTTACGTAATACAGTGAATTCTTCAGGCAAATGGAGAATATTAGGAAATGCATAATTTCACTACAGTCAGATTAGGATATATTCTCAATATGGTTCATTTTCTCTGTTTATTTTTGTGATGTATAAGGCTTTGTTTTTCTCCCCTCCTGGCTATTACTTCTGCAGCTGTTAGATCACTTTTAGAATGGGTTTTGAAGACATCTTTTTGAAATACTTTTTAATCAGTTTCTGTGTCTTTCTTTAGTTCCAGGAACTTTTTTCCTATCCACTCTATTCTATTTTACACAGTTTCTATGCAATTTCTGTATTTTTTCCTTATTTTAAATGTTGCAATACATAGCAAGAAGAAAAAAATACCAGAAAATTATTTAATAATTCTCTCTACGTGTCTTTGATATACATATTCCACCAAAAGCTTGTTCATTTTATAGGGAATTCATTTTGCATGCCTAAAATGAATTTTCAGAATATTTAATTTGAGAACTTGAGTCTATTAAAATGCATTACAGCAGCATCACAAATGTTCCCTACTGGAAAAATACTTGTTCTTTTGAAAATATAACTTGTATTATCTTCCCAGCTTTACAACTCATGAATATTGTTAGTTGCTACTGTACCTCATAGTAAGTAATGCCATGTAACACAGAAATTTAAACCATTTATCTGAAAAACTCCAAATGCCTTCTACATCCCTAGATCTTTGGGTCAGTCGAGACAGAGATGAAGCTGAGAGCTGCAGGAAGTAACAAGCAGGATAGAAATTTATCTGTTCCTGGCAATTGCTGCTCCCAATTGAGCATGCTAAACCAGAGCTCTGGATCTCTACTTCTGTAAGAAATATAGCGTCAGGGTTGTAACTTGTCAGTTCCAAGATGGGGGCTTCATGTATGATGGAGGCCCATTAAAACATGAGCACTTTTGAAAAGAACACATGCAAATGGAGGATTTGTAGTCATAAAATTGACATGGTGCCAATGGTAGATGGAAATATGTTTGTGTGTGTTAAATATAACGGAGAGTAAGCTGACACCAAACATTCATGTATTAAATGTTAGGTCCCAGAAAATTGAAACGCTGGTTTTGAAATAACAAAATGCGGATAATAAGAAATATGACTTCCTTTTATTAAACTTTAAGTGTTAAAACTCTGGGGACTTGTGTTTTCCAGTCTATCTGAGCAAATATAACATACACGTAAAATTCACATATGTGTATGTGCGTGTTCATTTATGAAACTGCAATTCTTGTGCAGAAAGTTTTGTCAGATAATTGCAGTAGTGCACTGCAATCTCTTGATAAGAGACAAGATACAGAATAGGAAGTTCTGCAGCAGAGCTGAAATTATGTTCATATTTTATTCAGTGGTTACACATTTGGAGAAAGAAACATGGCTTCTCAAATTTGGTGTTAAGCTATGAATAGATTGTGAGCCTTTGTCCTGCACTTCAAGATGACTATTTAGTTAAAATCACCTGATGTATAATGGTACTCAGCAAGGACTGCTACTTGTAGCAGTTAAACCCTGAAACAATATGGTAGAAATACATTTCTTAACATGCCAGGCTACTTCGAAAGTGTTAGGGTCTCACTGTCATAGGTACAAAACTGGAGTTACTCAGGCTTCAATATGAAATCACAGAAGCACTGCTCTGAGTTAAGTAGTTTTTGGCAGATGGTGGAACAAGATAACTATTTTTTCCCACTAGAAGACAGAAATGCTATTTGCAAGAGCACAGAAAACCATGTTGCTTTAGCAGCAAAATTACAAAATCTGCTGTTTTAGTGGGCTGGAATTGTAAAATACTGCTTGTGTCACAAGGAAGATAACAGTGAAATAATGTAGGGTTCTGAGGTTTCTTAGGATATGTTGCATTTGACACTGAATTGTAAATTCTTAGTCACTGCAATGGCTTTTCAAAGTTTAATTTTTCACACGTTTAAAAAAAAAAAGATGTGTTTTGATGTCAACGTAGAATGCTTGAGGTCTTATTGTGTTCTTGCAGTGCCTGATGCAGGGAAATCATCTTGAGTTTTATTTTAATATCTAAAATTAGGTTCTGGGCACAGTATGGAGGCAACAGATAAACACTGTTGCTACAGAATTTTTCAGATATCCATGAGACCTTTTTTTTTTGCTTGCTCCATGCTCACGATAAAAGGCTGGCATTGTTATTTATGTTATTTGTATGTTTTCATAGGACATCTGAGTCATTATGATGTGGGTTATTATGCTTCCTTGGTATTTTAAAAATACAAAACTGACAAAGAATCAGGAAAATATTAGGAAGATGACAAAATCCTGTTCTAAGAGTGCTGCAGCTGGTGACATGCTTAGTGCTTATAATCACAGGGAGAAATTTAAATTAGTTTGAACAGTTAGTTTTTTTGGTACAACATTTATGCAGTTATGATATATTCTAAAAGCTATTTGAAGTAAAAATGAGTAACACCAATATTGCATTAAAAGGGAAAGTATTCTGTCTCCATGTAGTTGTCTGAACTTATATGTAATGCAAATGCAAATGCAAATATACACAATATCTAACAGTACAGAAGCTGGGAAGGAAAGAAACTAGGTGAGACTGGATGCCAAATATTAGATTTGTTCTTTTCTTAACACTAATTTTTGGTGAAGCAACATCAAATCACATGCCATTTATAAATAACTGATGCAAGACCGTGTAATATGCCGTTATATCAAGGCACATATTTGCTTTGGCTGTAATGCCTGAGTGAAGTACTTTTGCTTTGGCTGTAAGGATGACATCAGTCATAAATAATTGTCATGGAAAGTTACTGGTCCGAGCACAAATCTCCTCACTCATCCTCACTCTCATGATAATAATGTAACTGGCAATACTCAGCCATGTGGGAGAATTCCTGCCCAAGGGGGAGGAATTTTGTACAGGCAGCACATTAAGAGGGTTAACAGGACAAGAAGTTTCCAGATGCTTTAAATTAAACTAAGTGGTTATTCCTAACCATAAATGTTTAACTCCAGTCTCTCAGCGAATCACTTTCAAAATAGATATTTATTTTCAAACAAAACCAGTTGCCTTGTGAAACTGTTGGTTGGTTAGGGGGAAAAAAATGACCTAATGGTTCTGAATAAAATATCTGATCTCTTGTTGCCAAGGCTGAGTCACTTCCTGTTACAATAACAAGACTGTCATCAGCAAACTTCAGTTTGCCAGCGTATGCATGGCTTTATTTGTCCATGTTGTTAGAAAGTTAGTGCTGAAAAACACACCGTACTAAATTTGGAGACACAGCGTTGTAGTAGCGTGTTAGTGCTGGATCTCTGTTTCTCTTATTCTTGATACTATGATCTATTGGTGCAACATGATCATATCCACCCAGCTGTGTAGAGTTATGCTGTAATTCTATCAAGGGATTCTAGACACAGCATAATGCATTAGTATCAGCGTGGTTTTCTCAATTGGAATTTGCAGGATCATAGTCAGCTGTTTCTTATTTACAGGAATAAGATTTGAAAAACATCCGGAAGTTCATTCCTTTTGTCACCTAGCAAATATCCTCTAGTGTTTTCTCAACTGTGGCAGCTCTTAAAGTGGTGTTTCAGTCAACTCCCTAGCTATTCAGCCTCCTGTGGTTTCAGTCATCCTGCTGTGTTCAGGCAGGGCTGGCATGGGGCAGAGGTGGACTTTTACACAACAGGTGTGAAATCCCCGGGCAAAGTAAGCTGACAAAAACCCTTTTCTTCTGTAAGAGCAGCTAGAAAATAAAAGCTCAATCCAGTGTTCACTTTCAGTATGATTCTTGTTTCCCCTCCTCCCCCCAAGTCTGAAGTGTTGCTATCTGGGAGTGGTGTCTGGTATGTGGGTGCTCAGGATGACCATCAGATCTGTAAGTGAATCCTAACCCTGACTCATGCTCTGTGACTCACCCCGAGCCTATGGATAAGAATTGGAGGGGGAGGAAGGGGGAAGGGCTTAAATCTCCTTTCAGGTTTTCATTCCTGTTTTTTTTTTTTTTTTTTTCCTAAAAATCAAATAAACCTCGAAATTAAGAGGCAAATGAATACTTAACCTAAACTTTTTTTTTTTTTTTTTGTGTGTGTGTGTGTGTGTGTGTCTGCGTTTCACCGACAAGGAGAACTGATAAAACTTGTAAATTCACTGGGTATGCACAGATGTGCAGTGCTATGTACACAGAGATCTCTCATCCTTTTGGGTAAACAAAAGTCTGGTCTGCCTGGGTTCTGGTTTTAACTCTGTTTACTGTGATTAATATCCTTCCTGCAGGATCATTTATGCTAGTTCTTCCCAACAGCCATGTGGTGGGTAGTCCTGGACACCTGGCATCTCTTATGCCTCAGTTCTTCAACCACATCCAGAGGAGTCCAAACGAATGAAAATATCTGAGAGCAGCTGCTCAGAAGAGGAAGAGCATCATGCTGATTCAAAGTGTGTCAATTTGGGCATCCTTTTCTGCCACTCCGACTTCCAAAATCAAATTGTTACAATCAAGATGCAGAACAAGGATCCTATCAGGGGCCAGCGAAGCTTAATCTGCAGTTTTCTTCCTTCTGTATTTTTACAAAAAAAAATAAATAAATAAAAAGGAGGAAAAAGAAAAAGCCAGCTTTTTTCAATTCCTTTTTTTCTTTCTTGCTAGCTTAAACAGCAGAACAGAAAACACGAGTTGACATGTTTAAGTTGATAATGATGAATCTGAGGATAAGTTGCTATGCTCTGTTCTCTGATAAACAGGAGCATTATTGTGCTGCTCTGGATAAAGTCACTGATTATACTGTTTGGGCCGTGAAAGCAAAATGTGTTGCAAGCATTTGGGTGTCTGTAACGAAGCAGTTGTAAATGCTGTGGTTGGTGTCTAAGCAGCTGTTGAGGTCACTGTCAGAATTTCACCATTGCAAAGGAGCTATCATGAGTTATTCCATTGTTTCAGGATGGAAAAGAACAGTTGTTTGTATATGTTTCTTTTTTCCTAAAACAGAACAAATGTTGGCTGTTAACTGCGTTTACAGTGTTCCAGGCTATATCAGTGGAAAAGATTTGTATTTGTCTGAGATCTCCCTTGTCTCCAGTGTAACGTGTCAGACGCTGAGAGTATCACTGTTGCCTAAAGCTTCATTTTTCAGGAGGTTTTGCTGCTACGTACCCTGAACATTAATTCTGCTGTGGGCAACTTTCCCTGTACATGCACTGATCCACTCCCAGAATATATTTGTGAATAAAACTGAGCCCTAAATTTGGATACTAAGAATCTCATGCATTTTTTAAGAACACATATCATTTTAATATTGGATTCAGACTCTTAGGTCTGTCTTACAGCCTGTCATGGATAACTTTTGATTACCAAAGTGAGGACAGTGCAGAGTTTTGCCACTAGCAAATTACATCAAAGGCTACAGGTCAGCCTGAAAATCCTAGTCCACGTGGGTGAAACTATGGTGTAAGACCTTTGGCACTCAAACCTCCTGCCTTGATCTATTTCAGGGAACGGTGAGTTCTCAGTTACAGGGAGTGGGAAGATGATGTCATTGAAAAGCTATTGCCCTGCTTTGATATTAGTAAACGTGCTCAAAGTTCTCTGGGGACCTCTAAGGACTGAAAAAAAAAACCAAAAACTCACTACTATAGTTGCTGTGGGACAGAGGTAGTTTTTCTTTCTTTTTCTCAAAATTTCTTTACCGGTGTTTTTAACTAGAATGTAAGTGATGGGCATGTTGAAAAATAAATCTATATATGCACTCTTGATAGAAATGTCTCAAAACTGAAGCTGGATGCATTTTTATATCACAAATGGAAACAAAGACAGGAACAAAAAATCACTCGTGCATGTGTGCGTGTGAGTGTACATGTAAATGGGGGGAGACAGGATGAAACCCTTTGCAAAACAAAGAAGTAAGTGCCAATGTTGATGTTCTCAGGCATGCTTTTCACTAGTGACTCTGATAACTTATTATCAATCGAAACCTGGAGGCCCAATTCCTCTTTCTTCTTTTCAACACGTACAGCTAGAAGGAAACAGAGTGAAAGGTTCTGGCAAGATGCCCACCCTACTTCTCGGGTAAGGGTTGAGTGATGCAACACCATGACTCCTCTCACATCTTGCCCATAACATGGGGAAGTGACTGATCACTTAGCTTTTTCATGCCTGCCAGCTCTGCTGGGCTTTGTCTTGCTTGACAGGCAGCCTCACACTACTGCTAGCCATGTGCTGGTTTCTCAGGGTCAAACCATGCCTTGGAGACAATTGAAATCTCATACATGTTTGTGTCTGAGCTCTCCTGCTGGCCTGTGTTGATGTAGCAGGGTCATTGTTTCTAGAATCATAGAAACATTAAGGTTGGGAAAGAATTCTAAGATCATCTAGTTCAACTGTCCACCTACCAGCAATAATGCCCACTTCACCATGTCTCTAAGTATCACTTTTACATGTTTCTTGAACACCTCCAGGGACAGTGACCACCATCTCTCTGGGTAGACTGTTCCAGTGTTTGACCACTCCTTGGGATAACTTTTTCCTATTATCCAACATGAAATCTTGATCCACAGAGCCAGAGCGTGTGCCAGCAATGCCAATGGCACCCATAAGTCTCTAAGATGCCTCCCACTTCTCCCTCTCAAAATTATGAATGCAGCTTTTTGAGTTTTAGGTCCTATGTGTTGTGAGTTTTCTTTCCATCCTGAAGCACAAGTTTGGTTTGTTTATTCTGGATTGGAGTTGTCTGCAATTTTCCATGCTGCAACGGGGATTTGAGCAGGACAGTGAGTATCACGAGACTCCTGATAATATCATGGGAGCTTACAACACCAGTGCTTGAAGGAGCTCTGCAGATTCAGCCTTTTTCTGTAAATAACATTCCAACAACATGGAAATAAACTGTTTCAGAACAATCTTGTAAAATATTTAATTTCTCTCTTTTTTTTTTTCTTTTTTTTTTTTTTTTTTTTTAAGGTAAGATCCTCATCAGGCAATCCAAATGTGATTAGAATAGCCACATGATCACTCCCATGTTACTTGATCTGTGACATGACTCAGAGAAGGGAGGAGAAGGGAAGAAGGGAACATTTAGCTTCATGTGCAAAAATTAAAAAATGTGATGAGGATGTTTGGAACTTATTTTTAAACTCTCCCTGGTACTCACCATCAGTTTAGTCCAATTGAGTAGCTTGAAACAAGTAATGTTTAGTAATAGCCATCAGTATACAGGAGCTGCTGGTGATGTCACCAGTGACTCCTCACACCTATCACTTGCTCAGCCGCAGCCTCAGACCGCTGGAGCTGTGGCACCCAGCAGCACCGTGGGGCTCTGAGTCAGAGGTGAAATGCCAGCACAAGGGAAGGGTTGCTGGTTTCGCTGGCTGACATACCAGTCTTGTTACGTATTTATTGTAGTTACACAGTAAGGCTACAAGATAGAGCCAGGGAATAGACTGCCGGATAACTACATTGACGGGAAGAGACAGTATTCAAACATGATAAGGAGTGCAGCGGTGATAAAAAGGCAGTAAAGCTGCCTGATATATGTAGTGGCTGATATGATATTGGGTATTTAGATGGGCATTTTATTTCCTTAAATGAAAAGTTTTGCTTTTTTTCTTTTCTCTTTTCTATGCTGCGTCCTGTACAAACCTCTGGAAATTTGCAGCTGCTCTGAGTCATAATAGCAGGATGAAAGCAATGCATATGGGCAATACTTATTGAAACATAGGTCCCAGGCATGCAGCTAAGCTCATGAACATGAGGCATATGCATGAACACAGTTCTTAAAATCAAGAATATGCATCAGTGCCTGCAATAGCAGTACTTTGTTTTGATTAACTCCCACCACTTCCCAGGAATGAAATATATTATTACTGTTGGCCTAATATGGAGATAAGGATATCACCCCTTGCTCCTGAAAGCTGAGGAAACTGTCATTTTGTACTCTTCTCTTATTAAAAAAGGGAACTAGTTCTGAAAATAGAAAAATATATTTTTATAATAATATTGCAAATTTTTTTTTTTTTAATTCTGTTTCTTTTAAATTGTGTAATTGTTTCATCTTTCTTAGAACTAATGCTGGGCAACCTTCATTGGTACCATTCCATGAATTAAAAAAAAAGCTTTTTTTTTTTTTTCAAAATGTGATCTGTCTTAGAAAAGCCCTACAAAATGATTACATGTTGCTGAAGTCTGGGAATGCTATTTTTCCAATTTCTAATTTTGAGGGAAGGAAGCTTCAATTAATTCAAAGTTTGTTGGTTTTTCTGATGGATAAATTTCACACTTTTTGGTCACCAATCATCATGTCAGATGAATTTATTAGCTTTAAATTAACATAAATGTTATGTAAGCCTCTCTTTTAATGGAATAGAATCATAGAACCATAGAATCATAAAATCACAGAATGCCTCAAGTCGGAAGGGACCTTAAGATCACCTAGTTCCAGCCCTCTGCTGCAGACAGGATTGTCTCCCAGCAGCTCAGGCTGCCCAAGGCTCCATCCAGCCTGGCATTGAACGCCTCGAGGGATGGGGCACCCACAGCTTCTCTGGGCATCTGTGCCACTGCCTCACTGCTTTCTGAGGAAAGAATTTCCTTCTAATATGTAAATCTCCCCTTTTTTAGTATAAAATCCTTCCCCTTGTCCTATCACTACGAGGCCATGAAAAAAAGTCAATTTTCATTTTGTTTACAAGCTCCCTTTAAATATAGAAAATGTCTTATTAAGAGGTAAAAGAGAAGAACACCAAGTTTCAGAAGGTATGGAGGGAAGCTGCAAGGAATTGTGGAGTTGCTACTAGTGGATTTCCTACATTCAGTTTTCAGCATCATTGTTCCAAATATACTAACAAATTGCACCCTCACAGGCTCGATATCATATCTGCAAGCTGAGAGTCAGAGGTTGATCACTGCTGAAATCAAGAACTGGTTGTACAGAACACAGATCAATAGGTAGGATGGTTTCTACCTTTTAGTAGATTCACCGCTTTTTCAATTTCTGTTGAGCTAATTGAAGTTGAAAATGCTCTGAAGTACAGTGCATCTTGCAGAACTAAACTTCAAACCCTTCCTGAGGATATTGAAGTAACCTGCTATCATAACTGTGCATTATTCACCATGATCTGTATGAAATAAAAATATTCCTGCTTTGAAAATTGGTCTGTATGGAGATTTTCTGAAAGTGGAGATTGGATAATGAGACAGTTGGGCTAGCCAGTGCCTTGACATGTTTCATTTATGGCTTGATTAGACCATGATTTAATGAGATACTGTACTACATGGAAGCACATCATCTTCCGTCATTTAACACCAACTGAAGTCTGAATGTTTCATTTCAGCAGTGTCTCTCCACTTTTGAAACTTAAAAAAATAATAATAAAAAAAAAGAGACTAAGGCATAATTTAAGTAGAAACTTTCATTCCTACTATAGTAGGCAATTACAAAGAAAACTATTCTGAGACTGCCCACTTCTTTGCTTCTTTTTTCAGTCCTATAGGCTATTCGTTAGTCCTTCTGAGGTTTTATTATATTGTATAGAAT